GTATGAGGAGTATGGTCCCAAAAGCTAGTCACAGAGTCAGCGACAGGCCCTGCTCCCACTGCTAGAAACTGCATGAAAGGAAGGAGAGGGAGTGGGAAACCTACGCAGCCATATAACCTTCCACCTACAGTCTGTCCTGCCTATGGGATGTGCTAGGATTGGTGCCCAGCCCAGTTGTCATCTAGAGGCTTCATCCATCAACTGAAGGAAACAGATGCAGACCCACAGACAAACAACAGGCACAGCTCAGGAAAAAAGGATTGTAGGAGTCAGAGGGGCCAAAGACCCCACCAGAAAAACCCACAGAATCATCTAACTGGGGCTCATAGGGGCTCACAGAGACTGACTCAACAACCCGGGAGCCTGCAGAGGACTGACCTAGGCACTCTGCATACATGTGACAGCTTAATCTTTATTTTCAAAAGGCACAACGTATGGTAGAGGGATCTGATGCAAAATTTATTCTAATAAAAATTACTACAATTCCAATTCAAAAATTATACATGGCAAATGAATTGATTTTGGTAGGTTTTAAAAATTAGTAAGCTCTCAAAAGGGCCAAATTGAAAACCTCATACTGGGTTACCATGCCCACTTTGGGAGGTGCTTAGATGAAGGTGTCCGTGTGGTGAAGATTAAAGTACATGATGCTATATGTACTTGGTGGGGAGTATTGAAGTGGTTTATTGACTAAAGGGTCAAAGGTGCAGAGAAGAGTGTCTGTGAGCAGACACAGCAGACTCCAAGCCACTTTCTGAAATCTGCAATGGTAAAACAGACAAAAGACTTTGAGGGGAAATCCCAAGTTTGGGTTGGAGTAATTGAATATGTCATTTAGCCAGACAGATTGTGAAACTCTAGAGTACTGTATAGTAATGTTCAGCATAGTGTCTTTCTGTGGTCCCTTAAGTTTTTTAAAGTAAACAAAATTGGAAGAGTTTATGGTTCTCTTATTATTCTACATACTATGAAAAGAAAATTCCAGTGTTTGGAAATGCATTTAATGCTTTATGAGATTTTCCACTTTTCAAAACTTCAAAGAGTAGGTTGTGTTAACTGTATCGAAGGGTCATTTTTTGTTTCATGAAAAATGAAATTGGAACAATTTTCATCTTTACCTAAGTAGATTTTATTTTTCTGAATGACTCCCTATTCAATCAATTACATGTATAATTGGTGGTATATTAACTCTGTTGTGGTGTTCATTAGAGAGTTTAAATATTTTGTTAATTTCAGAATGAGTAAAGTAACAGTTAAAGAAGACTCCTATGCACAATTATTTCACATAAGGACATCATCTTACATATAGTCTATATTGACCTCAGTCAACTTGATTTTTATTTGGGTTAAATATATTCTATAGAAATGCAAATATAAGCTAATAATGTACTCTAAACTTTTAGTTACTGACATTATTCCAATTGTTTATGTTGTTCATTGTGTATTATTCCAATACAAATACTTTTAAAACAAAGTCTTTGTATTTGTAGAGGAACCTTTAATGACTTTTTAGTGGATGATGGAGCAAAGATTTTGAGATGTTCCTGTCCTGCCATATCACTCTAATGGCTTGTTTGTTTTCCATTTACTATGAACAGCAATGAAAAGGTAAATTAAAATGTGATGTATTTTTATTGGAGTCGAAATGGATATTAGTTAGAACGCTGAATCCATGTTATTACTCTTATGCTTCTCATGTTATTTCTATATTTGTTGTCTTTTATATGCTAACTGCTATTGATAAACTTTCAAGTATAATCAAATTTTTATAATAAATGGATTTTTCACATTAAAAAACTGACATTTTAATTTTTCTTTCTGTAGGTCTCACATATTTTGGGTTAACAGAAGTCTACCTTTATGGGGCTTACAGGTTATGTACTATTCTATTTTATTCCTCTATTTCTGAGTTCATTAATATTTCACAGAGAAACCCAGTTGGGAAGTGAACTGTTGATGTTTAAGTTGAGTTTGCCTTCATGGCTAACCTTAATGCACATTACAGGTTCACATTTTGACTTATTTCTTCTTGTTTTCCCAAGCCTTGCATTCTAACTTTCAAGATTTTTCCTTGTAATCTGGATTAGACTTAAGAGAATGCTGGAAAATTAAAATTGGTAAATAAACAAAAAAGCCAAGAAATATCTCAACCCTCCATGTCTCCCAAACTACTTTCCATGACTCATTTATGTAACTCCTTTCAGATCAGTCAAGCACCACAATTGTGGGTCCTTTTTTTTCTAGAAGAACATGGAAGAATCTAAATAAATGAGTGTATAAGCTTAGAAGGCCAATGAAGACTTAAGAAAGTAAGACAATAGACAAGAGGAAAGTATGTCTGAATTATAGACCTGGGTTTCTTGGCGTCAGCCGCCTAGCCTTAATTCTTGTTTCTATCAGTCTTGGTGAACATGATTGTTTTGATAAGGTCCTGTCACGTCTCCTTATTTTATGTGCTATAGATCATTTTTTTTTAGCTTCATGTTAGTTCTTAAAAGTGCAAATTAAATGGAAGATAGGATCACTAATATAAAGAAGACTTGACAGTTGCAGGAAAAAACTTTATGATTCATTTTGTCTGCGCTCACTTTTAGTAGTTCTGTCTAGATCAGGAGTTTGATTGCCTAAAAAGCCATGATGATTCTTTTCACATAATGTATGGTAGTGAATGATTTTGAAAATGTAATGTGATTATGTCTACAACTAAAAACTTCTGTGTACACTTCAATTAAGTAAATTTAATTACATTGATTTATACTGACTACTGTTGCAAATGCCAACTGGTATACAAATAATCTTTCCCAAATACCTCCCTCAATATTAGATGTTCATTAAAACATAGTCTTATGATCTCACATGTAAATCCTGTTATCATTCTTTAATAAAAATTTAGAATGAATTAATATTTCAAAAAGTCCTATAGTTTCCTAAAATTGCTTTTACTTAAATTTTATTCTGAGTAGTACTTAACATAGCATGTTAGAATTTTCTAGAACTCGTGTAGCAATATGCTATTAGAAAATAGCATAGATAATCAAGATAGAAGATTTGTGGAGAAAATAAAAACACTCTTAGCTTCCTATTATAAATATGACCAGCTGCATGAATGCTTGGATAGATTTTTACTTGGATTGCTGGACATTCATCTGTTTTCATTGTGCTAAAATTTGCTGTTCACATACATTCAAAAGTTTCATTTTAGTAGAAAACAACTTTAAAACCCCAATAAACATCATTTCTGATTATAAAGTGTCTTAAACCTCAGTTAGCAAGAAGTATAGTTGTTATTTGAATAATTTCCTGTTTGTGCTTGCATATTTCATTCTACTGTCCATTTCACACCCATGAGAAGGCAGGATATGTATTTCCGTGGGAGAACACTTGCTTAGAATGTGAGAGGTCTGGGGTTCAATTCCTCAGCATCACAAAGGGAAAACACTTGTAATTAGTTCACTTATGTAATAAATGAAACATTACTGAAGAGAAATGTCTCTTTTTCTCTACCTATTTTTCTGCTTCAATGTGTCCTGAAACTAACAGTAACAATTGCATATACTTCAGAGCAAGCAGAGAAAGACCCTGGTCTGAAATGACAGAAAACCAGCATTTCCAACCAGAAAAGCACAGTTGGTCTCAGAATTGTTATGTAACCTCAAAATATCCTACATGGCTGAAATAGCCCAATTTTAGTATATTCAAGGATGTTGGCATTACATATTGCCTGAAGTAGACGAAATGATTCAATATACTCAGTGTGAACATTGTATTTGGCTTTCTGAAGGGAAATGCTGATTTAAGCAGTGATGTTGGGAAAAACAGTTGTGTGTGATCCTAATCTTTGTCTTGTGGGAGACCAGCCCCCACCATTATTTTACACCAGGGACTCTTGAGGATTGAGACATAAGAGACTTAGAAATAAAGAGGAGAGAGAAAACACAGGATAGACTCAGGTGGACCTGGATCCTTATCCACTGCCCCAAAACTTCATTCCAAAAGTCTATTTATATAATGCCAAGGGGAGGGGCAAAAGACTCCCTCTTTGCTAGTCACAGTCAAGTGTAGACACTTACAAACACCTAAGGTCTGTGATCCAATCAACCTCCCATGCAGTCATGCTGGGTACAGCCACTAGGAAACCTAGCGGGCTACCACAATGTATCTTGCCCACTCTAGTCAGCTTGAATATATAACTCTGGTATTTATATTCAGGACATTGAATTAACAATATTCATTCAGAATATGTGAAATTGCCAGGTGTGCTGGTGCACGCCTTTAGTCCCAGCACTTGGGAAGCGGAGACAGGAACATCTCTGTGAGTTTGAGGACAGGATAGCCTGGTTTACAGAGTGAGTTCCAGGACTGCCAGGGCTGTTACACAGAAAAACCCTGTCTCAAAAAAAAGAAAGAAAGAAAGAAAGAAAGAAAGAAAGAAAGAAAGAAAGAAAGAAAGAAAGAAAGAAAGAAAGAGAACGTGAAATTATAAAACCTAAGCTGTAATACATGAGGTAATATAATATTGTGTGCATCTTTTCACCTGCTGATTGAAATTTAAGTAATATTACCACTTATATTATGTTTATATATGTATATATATATCGTGTGTGTATATATCATATGCAGCTATGTATACATTCTCACATACTTGTTTACAGTTATTAGCACATTATGAAAACATTTTATTTACTTTGCATTTTCTCATTAGGTTACAATTTGTTTTTAGGTCTCAGTGGCATTGATCAGTCTATTTGAAACAATACTCCTTGGTTATCTCAGTTATAAGGTAAGCTAGTCTAATTAGTTTTCTGCTGTAGAACTCACTGCTGGCATTTACCAAGTTTTCTTCTTTTTATAATTCATACTTGGGGATAAGGCAGGCTCTTCTTAAACTGCTTTAATTATTCAGAGCCTCTCTAGTATGTGATAAAAAAAACTATAGTAATATGGTTGGATTTTCCTTGGTGTCTTAGAAGTACTTCACTAATTCCTGTGTGTTTACTTACCCATTATAGGCATGCTTCTATTGAGGCATTGGAATGATACTCATTTTTATTGTTCTCAATCTCTTTTCTCAATCTGTTAAAAAAAATAGAAAACAATTGTGTCTTTTAGGAGTTATTTTAATAAATTATTTTAATTACTGGTGAAGTTCTCTTTGGTTAACACAGTTTATCAAGTATTTATGAAGTGTTCCTATTTAATGAACTCTACACTTCATGGCCCTTTCCTCAATAGGTTTACAATCTAAAAAAATGGGATGATGGGGAAACTATATAAATTAATGCAATATAAATCAGAAAACAAGAAGCAGTGTTTGACAGGTATAAATAAATATGATGGGTACAGGAAAAGAAAAAATGTTTCTTAGGATAAAAAGAAGTACCTCAGTGATAAGCAGAGTCCTTTATAAATGACTTTAGTAAGGCGGTGTGAAAAGACAGAGTCATTGGGGTGGGTAAATTAGCAAAGGAGTAAATAAAAGAATATGTATATGAAATGGAGGATGACAGATGACTGCATTTAGTTAAAATATTGATACCTTGTATGGCAATATAGGATGGGAAATTGTCAGAACCTCTGGGTAACACAACTCCACAACACATCTCACAGTAAACACCATGTGTTCCAGTGACAAATGATACAGTATGTAGAGAAAATCAGCGATGAGGCTGGGCATGGTTGTGCACCACTGTAATTACAGGCTTTGGAGATAAAAATAGAAGGAACCAGAAATCAAGGCCAACCTCAACTATGGAGCAAGCCGGAAATTAGCCTGAGCTTCATGAGCTCTTAAGAAAAACACAAAAACAAAAACAAAACAAAACAAAAAACCCAGCTCAACCACCCGCCCCCCCCCCAAAAAAAAAAAAAAGAAAAAGAAAAAACGCCAAACTAATAAAAAGGGAGAATTAGGCTTGGTCAAATAAATTGTAGCTGATGAAGGATTATGAAGGCAGAAGATAAATAAATGATGAGCTGATTGGTTTAGGTCGATAAAGAAAAGGAAACTAAAATAACATTTTTAAGGCTTTCTGGATTGAGGTGACTAGAAACAATGTGGGGGGACTAATAGAATTAAAATACAAAGAAAAAATCAAGGTAGAATCTAGGTAGAGCATAGTTGGTTTTGGAGATTGTGACATCGTGTTGGACAGAGAGGCATGATATGAAAACACCTGAGAGTGAGGATAAGATCTTCTAGAAGATTCATTAAAACTCAGTGTTCATGTTCACAGAAATGATAAAGGGAGTCAAGGAATTCTCATGCGAAGAATCAGCATCAAAGTAGAAGCCAAGGATTTGAGGGGTAGAGCTGATCGCCTACAGGTTTTAGAAAGAATATACAGAAATTGGAAGACAGAAAAGAAGTGGAGGCAGAAAGTACTACTTGTCCTTGGTTCATACATAGTGGCATAAGAATACAAGGTTCTAATTCTGGAAAAATTGTTATTTACTATCTATTTCCTAATTTCAAGATTAAACTATTTTTCAGTCCTAAATTTTGATCAAATAGTATTTGCAAACTCCATCAACATTTCTCCTAGGTCTATTTTATTTCTATTCAAATTTTCATTAGTCCTATCTAAAATACCTAGAAAACAGTATCAATTTCTATGACAGGAAATCTAATGAACAAGCATGTATGAAAATAAATTAATAAGCATAAGAATATAGAGAGTTTAAAAAACACATTGTGAGAACCGAACTGTCTAAGTAGGATCAACATTGTGCGAGAGTATGTGAACGATGGAAAATGCCTGAGGTTTCTGAAAGAGGCAGTGAGCTCCTTTTCGTCTTCAGAAATCTGTCTTAATGGACACCATAGAGAATAAAATATGTTTAAACTAGAATGTTGGTTTACTGGGTTAGGAACTTACTAATAGGATGGAGGGACTCAGAGATGACATTCTAATGATGGAGATGATCTGCATTGCTTAAAGAGAGAAAATGTAGGGAGAATGAAGAAGGATAGAAGAAGAAATCTCATGGAAAGTAATGAGGAGCCAGACAAGGAAACTGGGATTTAGACACCAACTGGGATGAGGTTCCATTCTCAGACAAGAATATAGAGGATGAGGGGTGAAGAAGTCACATATATTTACATTACATATATTTACATTACTTAGAAGGTATTGACGGAGGGATAGACTTTTAATGATCTGTGTCTCCTGGCTGAGAATATGTACTATAAGTTTGTCCTGATGAGTATATGGTTCTAGATGCTGAGTTACCTAAAGTGAAAAATTGAAATGCTAAGATGTCTTTAAAATGGTTTGATCTTCAGCTGTGCAATGAATGTTGAATGTAAGGCATAGAAGACTTACATCTAAGTAGGCATGTGGGTTTTTTGGATATATCAGTCATATCTCTTTCACTTGTGCATGCTGATTTGAAGAGACATAACGTAGCCAGATATTAATATTCATTTGTAAATGTATTTCCTCCAAATTCTAACTAAAGGTAATATGAAAATGTTTTTTTTTTTCTGCTTTGCTAAAAGGACTCCCAGCTCTGATTGAAGAAGTCATTTAAAATATACAAAGAGATTCAGGATAACTTTCCATTGCATTTATATGATGATGGCATTCATAATTAATTACTTCCTATCATTGACAAAATGAGAGCAGAACATTAGAAGGCTTAGAAGACAGGGCTTGATGATATATAATATTTCTATTCTGACCTCCATAAACTTTAATGGCTTAGCTAGAAGAGAAATAGATGTTAAAGTCCAAAAAGTTACAAAGGAAATAGAAAAGATAAAAATGAATTTGTGACAGTAGAATAAATTTCTATTAACTATCTTCTTTTCCTCTCATAAATTTAGTCAAATTCAGGAACTCTTGTGACCTAGCCAGTACAGTGTTGGGTAACTTCTTTTCAATAAATAAATTAAATAATTTGTAATAATTTATGGCCCATAAATAAGAATATAAAATCTGCTTCTTTCTACAAACTAGGATTTTTAAAAAGTAGAAGATAGGCTTGCAAAAAATGGTATTTAGTTGTATTACAAATTCTGTCTATATTTAACATTGTTTAATATCCAGAGATCTGAGATTTTAATGTGAATAGACACTAAACATATGTTTTCCATGTATTTGTATAAATATATTGATATTTATATATTTAATATTAAGAAAGTACAATATTAAAAAGCATTTAAGCCCTCGACATCAAACATTTTATAATGAGAATGAACTGAGTTTTAACAACTACAATAGTTTAATCTCTCATGGAGACCAAGAACAACACTTTAAATACATGTGGAAATTAGCACATAATGAATTACAAATCCATGGCATAATGAACGTTATTTTCCCTTATTTAGATGTGTAGGTCTGTGCTCATGTGATCCTTCCATTCATGTTCATAACTGCTTGGCAAAACACTCACAGTAATTACCTAACACTAAAGTTCTTATTCTTGTGGCACCATAACTACCCTCTAAGTCTTTATCAACTGCTTTTAAAATAGAACTCTATTTATACATACATATTCATTAAATCAAAGGAAACAGAAACAAACATCAGCATGATTTCCAAAGCTCCACAAATAAACTTCATCACACCTAGGAGCTTTCGTTAAGTCTATGATTACTTGTTCCATAATTACTCTAAAAATGTATTATTTCTGAGAAATATAGCACCCGAGTAACTAACTTATCTGAAAAAAAAACCTTGTATGTCTAGATGGTTTCAAGTAAATCTAAATACTATGGATTCTTTGCCATGCCTTGACATTTGAAATTTACATATTGCTAATCATACATTTAATGCTATAAGCTTCATAATACTATTTTAAATCTGTTCAAAAAAGATTAACTATTGGATTTTTTCATTATGTAAGTTAGGCATTCTTGCTTTTATCCCTTATAAACAAAATGTTTAACTCACACACCTAAGGCTCAGGCAAGATTACAGAAGAGGAGGAGGAAAGATTTTAAGAGACAGAGGATTAGGAAATTTGCTGTGAGATTGTGTCTCCTAGTAACATAAACAACTATACCAGTAAACTCCTACTAACCAGACTGCCCATATGTTGTCCAGTGCCAATCAGCTCTGAAAACATACATTCAAAAGTAATATTATATGGACCTATCAGGTTATATTAAGGAATATTTCTGTATATATAAACCCTTACGTATTTGCAGTAACAACAAATGAAAAAGGAGGTCATGAATTTGAAGGAGAGTGGGGGAGGTTTATATGAGAGGGTTTGGAGGGAGGAAAAAAAAGGGAGAAATGTAATTAATATACAATTTCAAAAAAAAAAACCCACAAGGAAATAAAATGTTTACATATAATTCTTAGGTTTAAACTGGGCTTTTAGAACACCTAGGTTGCCATATTTCTGCAATTTTTATAATAAGTGCCTTTTGGAATTGATTTCTGCTTTCCTTGGTGATAATATCTAGTACATTTTCTGTCATGTATTTTGTTACAGTTTAAGGACTGGCATGCCCATGGTAACTGAAATGGCTGGATTAAGGTTTACTTTCATTTTATTGAATTCTGCCAATAAGAGTAACCTAGCATCACACACACAGAAATTGATAGAATGTTATCTCTTAGAAGGAGCAAACGTTTTTTGTTTGCATTATGAAGGCGAAATTAAGTGAAATAAGTGTTTGATATGATTTTGAGAGCCACTTTACTTGTCTTCGGATATTGTTTATAGTTCAACTGCATATTGGCATTCTATCAATGCATGCTCTCTTTTGTCATCATAATTTAATTTTGTACTGTGGATTCTTATGATGTAGGTCCTCTGGGAATTCCTAATGGCCAGTGAAACTCATGGATCATTTCTATATTTATTTTAATAACTATTTTAGGGAAGATAATTTATGAATGCATCACTTAGTTCAGAAGATAACTTGAGACCTAGGAATTAAGCAAACTGAATATCACTGAAAATATATGTGTTTATTTTTAGCTGTAAACACATTATTCCTTTATACAGTTTGACCATGGAAATTAGTCCTCAGTGGGAAGTTCATTCAGTTGCTGCAGCACACACACACACACACACACACACACACACACACACACACACACACACCAAAAAAAAAA